CGCTCCCGGAGAACAGTCGAAACGCCGTACGCGTCGCGGAACGCGGCTATTTTTTTCCCCGGACCGTTTCCATATCAATCACGGGCGAATTTGCGTTCCAGGTACTCTTCGAGTCCACACGAGCATGGGTACAACTAGGGCCTAAATATTGGGGCTGCTGAAATTCCTGGAAATAAAATTAAATGGTACTTAACCATAATTACTATAGATTATATTGATCTGAAGAAAAAACCAATAAATTTGAACTCAAGGGTGCTAAAAACCCTATTGCAACCCCCCCCCCTAGTTGCGCCTATGCACGCGGGATGTGTATTATTGAACATCCGTTTGCGCGATGCGGTTTCGGCGAATGACTTGCACAACGAATGGTGTTCCTGAAAAAGCGCATACCGAGTCGCAAAGGTGAAAATCATTATAAACGGTTGGGGAACAGTTAAGTATTGCTTTCAAATGTATTTAGAAAATGGTTAACTTAAAAATGACAAAAAAAAAAAAAAAAATCGCTAAAATTCATAAATATTATCTCGAAACGTAACCTAGACCGATAAAAAATTTAAATAATATGTTTTTTATGACTATTTATTATTCATTATCAAAGTGACAATTGCAAATAATAATATTACAAATAACTCTTGAATTACAAAAGATTGTCTAAGACAGTGGTGGTTATAAGGGGGGGGGGGGGGAATAGGTAGATCCCTTGGGATTTGTTTTCTTTTTAAATTTAGTATTTTGCTGGCCCAACAATACCTGTCTGCAAATTTTCAAACTTATGATTTGATGGTAAAATATTTTTCCGTTTTAACCACAGACAATATATTATCATAGTATTGTATATTATTAATATATGTGCTATGGTGCACGGGAGCACGTGCAACTACCCAAAACAGTTGTATAAAAAATTATTAAACTATAGCAAATTATAATCCCGGTTGTAATGCACATATTTTGTAATTAACAAAACTATTTGTTAAAAAAAGTTTTCGCAGCTTTTCGTGTTCAGAATTATGTCTATTAAAGATTAAATAATTACCGGGACACACGTTCGTCGTGCACCGGGCGGCCGTACAAAAGTTAACTACACGCGTAGACACGTCGTTAATAATACATGGTCGTTTGGAGCACAATCGATGTGTGCACCGGAGTAATTTTTATCGATTCACGTATCGTCGTAGATCGCAGAAACAAGATTTTGTGTCTCATACATAAATAGACATTTATTTATTTTTTTTTTTTTTGTCTTGTACCTAATAATTTTTTTCCAATTTATTTTTATTTTACCATCACGAAGAGCACTTGAGAAAATTATATATTGATAAGTACGTTATATGTACCCATGGGTTACCATGCATACCTACCTGTATAATAAAATTAATATTTTTTTTACCTACCTACATAGGTGTCTTACAAATGATTAGTGCACCACCTTATGTGAACCTCACGAGCCGCTACTGATTATCATACTGTATGTCTCGGTATCGCACAACCAATGTAATTACAATTATATTAATTATTATAAGATACGTTTTATAAGTCAATACATTTTTATCTTTTTTTAATACATTAATTTTAAAGCGTGTATGTGTATGTATATGAACATATAATGCTATAGGTTGGGGGAGAATTTATTCCCCTCCCCCTATTGAACATCATGTATAACAACCAATGGTCTAAGACTTACTACAGGTTGCTTATGATTAGGGCTAGGGACTTCATGCCCTTAAAAAACTTAAAATATGCATGCATAAATGCCCCAAATAAACAATAAATATGCTATTAAAATATCAGATTTGTTTTCATCTTATATTAAATTTTTGTCTAAAACAAAAAATTTAAAATTATTTTAAAAATTAATTAAATGAATAAATTTTTATTTTTATTTTAATATAGTACTAATTACCTTGAGCTTTAGGTACATTGGACTATAAGATATTTTCTTAAGTTGGCATATTTGAATGACCGCCTGTTATCAGCGAAAATATTTTTATAATTATAAAAGGAACGTTCCACGTCTACGGAAATTATTGGTGCGAATTTAAAAAGTGGTAGGTCACTACTACTAATAACATTTTATCCATTTAAAATGTTCGATATTTTTGTTGATCAAATTCAACATCTTTCTCCAAAACTTTTTTCATTTTGTCATTAATTGCTTTAGCTTGTGCAGATCCTTCAATTTTTGCAGAATGTATGTGTTCTTTTGTAGTTTAAATTATTTTATTGGATTCAGTTAATGATAAATGAAGAAATAAATCCATAATTTTTTTTATAAAATTAAAAAAACTTACTCCTTCATATAAATAACTGTCAAATATGCACTTATAAAATTAAAAAATAGTCAAATATGCATTTATAAATAAAAAATGATCAAATATGCAAAATATGCAACTATAAATTTTAAATATAAATTTGTACTGCTATTAAACAAATTTCTATATTACTTAGCTATGTTTTTGATGATTATTTAAAAACATTCAAACTCCTAGAAGTTCCGAGCCCTACTTATGATATTATTAGTAAAACCAATCGTTTTAATACCATAACAATTACTCCGGCTGATGAAAAGAGAACGAAAAATAGTTTTCAATGTAATGTTCTTCGCCATTAAGTAATCTCAAGAAAAACGGACCCTGCGGATTTTTCGAGCAATTAAAATCAATAGTTTACATCATATTTACGTGCACATTTTTATAAAATTCATAAAGTTATTGATTTTGAATCAAATTATTTCATATAAACTAGCAAACTCGATGACCACAGTTTTAATTCTATTTCAACACGAGAACATTATTAATATTACGGGATAAATGCCAACAGATTCAATTTTTCATGTATTTTTTAAAGTTTATATTTATTTTTTATCGCAAAAGTCTTGATGACCTGGTCGAGATTTCAAAGTCAACTTTTCGTTCTATGTATAAATCCCATTGAAAAAAAGTAAATATATAAGGTCCACGAACCATTTGGACCTGGTTCGCTTACCGTTTAAAATAGTTATTCGAGAAATGTCGAGAAAACGTTGCGCGTTAATTATATATTTAATATAGGTAGCATATTATTAGCATCGTATGTATAGCTTTTATCTGCAGTCGAACTCATTAAATTCACACTTTGATTACTATAGTAATATAGTATATAAAAATGTATATTATATATATATATATAAATGGAACCAAAAATGTATAACATTTCATCAATTGAGAACGGCTGGGCCGATTTGGCTCAAATTTTTTTTAATTGTTCGTAATTGCCAGAAGGTTTTTACGGAAAAAAATTTTGAAAGAGTGCTATTGTTTAATAAATCATAGTTTAATTTAATCATTTTTGACCCGGTCGATAACTGCGCAATTTAAAATGAATTATTAAATAAAACTATTAAAAAACTATTAAAAATTATTTAAAAACTATTAGTTTTATTTTTAGTATTGAATGACAGGTATTGCATAAATATTAAACAACAAGATCCCCGCAACAGGTGCCAAAACAAATAAAAATGTTAGTTCGAAGAATTATTATGCATATCGGTTGATGACTAGACGCGATCAGAACAAAGTTATTCTACGATGTCATGAGCTTTGTCAACAATTCATGGTCGAAATGTATGTAAAGATAGAGAACGAGCGATTTCGATACTTACGATTCAATCAAAAAAAGCTGCGTACGGAAGATTCTCAAAACAATAGTTAGATATCGGTGATGAGAAAGTTACTACTGATGAAACGTCATGCATAAAATTACCGATTGATTTCTGCGCAAGATGCTCTCATCGACCAGATATTTCCCAATGTACACAGACAATACACAAATCCTGAGTGGCTGACAGAAAGAGCAATTTTAGTAGCAAAAAATGTGGACGTCAACGAATTGAATTTCAAGATACAATATTTGTTACTAAGAGACTTGGTATCATACAAATCTATAGCTACAGTTTGCGATGCTACTGAAGCTGTAAATTAGCCAACAGAGTTTTTAAACTCGTTGGATTTACCAGGCATGCCATCGCATAATTTACAATTGAAGGTTTGTTCTCCGGTTATTTTGCTTCATAATTTGACCCACCACTGTTGTACAACGGCTCGCGATAAGTCGTTAAAAAATTAATGAAAAATACTATCGAAGCCATCATTTTAAATAGCAAATTCTGAGATGAAAATATATTATTACCGCGAATCCCTATTATACCCACAGATATGCCAATATAATTTAAACGCCATCAATTTTCAATTAGATTAGCATTTGTAATGACTGTCAATAAGTCTCAAGGCTAAACGATGTCTGTAGCTTTGATTTGAACACATCATATTTTTCACACGGACAATTATACGTGGCGTGCTCTCAAACCATCTAGTTTGTGTTGGCAAAAGATGGGATAACAAAAAATATTGTACACTCTGTTGCATTAAGGGATAGATATTGTTTTTTCACTAATATTGTCATAATTAGCGATACATATATAATTTTAATGGATCAATTTTAATAAATTATTAAAAAAATAAATGTTTGATGTTTTTTTCATTTTTATATTTCGTCACCGTTCTAGCACTCCATACCTCTTCCTTACATTCTTATCCTTACCCATATCCTTATATACCTATATTAAATAAGTTATTTTTTTCTAACAAAATATTCTCTAGAAATAATTTATCTGACAAAACAATGTTTGTCGGGTCAGCTGGTATATATATATATATATGTTTAAGTATCCTATAGCTAGTATTCTCATTTTAATGTATCGCAGCGTTGTCGTTATATCCATTGTGTCGTGTATAATTATATACGTTGTGTAGCTCGTTCGTAGTCTTAGTTTTTACTGTCTGGTATATCAAGTTCTCAATTGTAGGTCTCTAGTAACTAAGAGTTTCCCATCTCTACCCTATAATATTATTACGTGGTAAATTGTTGACACGTGAAATGTGAATATAACTATAATGTAAACCGTGGTGACAAAAAACATCCGGCGAAAAAAATGTTTGCGAATCAAATACAAACTCTATATAATATATAGGATCAATATCCACTATAATAAGAGACAGCAACTGTACAAAATAATAGTATTACATTTATTAATACAATACACGCGGCTTTTTTAAATTTTTTTAATGACTAGGGAATACGTGGACGATTCGGCGAATGACCGAAAACACAACAGAGCACTGTTCGTTACGACACCATGCATTTGTCTTCGTTCTGGTCGTTCTCGTCGTCGATTTCGACGACCGATGTTTCCAATTGACCACCGGTCAGTATGTTGTTGACAACGGCTCTGGCTAGATACCCGGTGGTGGTCGAATATTTTGCTGAAATAAAATTGTCTAGATTTTCGGTGCGCACCAGTTGATTGTCCTGCAAACGTCGAACGTAACGATAACGTATATATGAATGTATGGGAAGTTGATGTGGAGATGCAGCAGTGGTCATGCGGTTGACCGCTACACATGAATGGAGAAATTAAAAGTTTATAACGGTGCTCTCGGATTCAGAATCATAATCAGCTTCAATGTTATTATCTTTGTATATTGTGGTGTTTTTTTTTTTTCTATAAGTTATTATTTTTTTGGTAATTTTTTTACCTTCCTCTATCGAATGTTGTAATCTTAAAATCTCAAAAGCAGTATTTTCATAAAAAAAAAAAATGTTGAGCAAAATAGTTTAAATAATATCAAAATTCGTTCGGATGAAATCCAAATTAATTTGATGCGTAGCTCAAAATTAAACTGTGAAACACTACAGTAAAAAAAAAAATAACGATTTCAAAAACAATTTCACCCTAATTTCTTGACCAAATTTGAAATAAAAACAACTTAATCTAGCTCACAAACATTAAATATAAAATGCATCTATAGTAATGACAAAAGACGTTTCTGTCCATTTTGCTTTATATTACCTTGCAAAATATTCTGTTCGCCTCGTTCACTAGATTATCTAAATTCAGCTCCTTAAGTGTGAGTTCTGGGTTGCGCGTAAGGATCGTGGAGACTATGCACAACAACTGAAACATAATAATTTAAAATATATACAATATAACTGCAATAATAAGATATTGAAATCTTATTCGTGCAGTAAAAATACATATAATACAATATTAGTGGCACTTAACAGTGAACGATTATAGTTATTCATTTGAAATCAAGTCGTTAGAAATACCATGAGAAAACTACTAACCATATGCATTATTCAATTTTTTAGCACGTTGGTCTCGTAGGGTGTAGTTTAAAAAAAATTCAAAGTTTAGATAAGATTGAATGCAGGTACTCATAAAAAAAAACCGCTTCAAGTTTGTTCCAATAGAATAAACAAAAACCACTAAATATATTGTTTTCTTTCATCAATTTCTCTATATTAAGCAACGGAATAAAACAACAATCATTGTGTTTGGCACAGACTGTTGAAATATATTTTATGACTCAATTTAAAATGGCTATTATAATATTTTAAGCATTATCTTGTTCTTGTTCTCTTTTTTTTTTCTTATTTTTTCAGTCTCTTTAAACGTCTATTATTATGTCTATTATTTAGTTGGCTCTTAAAATTGACGACGATCATTTAAAACAAACTGTAAACAACAACTTCGCTTTTCTCCGCTTTTATATCCAACAATAAATCTGTTATGATATAAAAACTATAGAAAACTGAAAGTCAAATTTTTGCGAATATCTAAGAGTTTAGCGTGCGCGCTGGCATCGCATCAAAGCGGATCCCGCTAATGACTGTTTGGGACAAGGACCGGAGCCCGGGCGGCCTGTCATTGGCACACTACTCCGCGGAGAAACAACTTGATTTACAGAGTAAAGCGAACAGGATAAAATGTTACAACTATTCCTTCTCTTTCGTGTCTACTTTATTATAACGCATATGCACCCGCACGCCCATCGTAATTATCATTATTTACCTCGACGATGAGTTGTCTGTACTCTGGTTTGTCTATGTGGTTCAACATGTTCTCCACGTAAAGAGCAAACTGCAGTTCGGAGTGGGTCATGTTGTTGATGGTTGGCTGCTGTGGCAAAACTTGATTTCGAACTCGTATGCCTTTAGGCGTACGTCTTAGTATGTCCCACACCTGATTGTAGAACTGATTGGGCACCCGGCACCAGCAGCCCTCGAGTTGGCGCTTTTGAAACATGCTAATCCTGGATAAATAAATGAAAAATTATACTAGAGAGAAAATCAAAAATTTAACTATTTGATATACATACAAAATACATATACATACAAAATGTATTGCAACTAAGGTAGCTCTCTCTCATTATCGTGATTAATTAAAAGGTTAATTAAACGTAAGCGCTGTTTTCGATAATTTATTCAAATAACGCTAATATGAATAAAATAAACATTTATGAGGGTTTAATTATCAAAAGTATAAGTGTATGGGGAATATCTAATACGTAGGTATATTCATTTGCGTGTATATGATCGAATTTATAATCTCCTAAAATTGTTTAGGGAACGTCTGCGATTAGATAAACACAGTCATTTTTGATTTGTTATCATATTCAGACTTTGAAGGTAGTTGATGAGTACTTTTCAACAACACTTTTATTTTTAATCGGTTTTTCCGTTTTAATATTTTAATACTAGGTAGACATTTTGCATAAATTCTATGAAAATATGAAATACATGTTTGAAAATACCATTTTTTCGGACTTCGATTTGCCACTAAAATATCTGTAGCACAAATGGAGCTCAGATGATGCAAATTGTACATTTTTTTTTTTTTTTTATTTTTTTTACAACAAAAAACAAGACCATTCTATTTGGTAGTAACTATAAATTAAACATTCTTCTGAAATTAATCATACATTTTTTCTGTGAATATTCAAATATTTATTAATTCTCCTGTCGACGTTAGCATATTTTATCGTCGATGAATTTTATATATTAAAACGATCGGAAAATATTGAAACAGAGTCTTAGATACTCAAAATAAATGATTAATAAGAAATATTAATATATGAATAAATGAAAAATAGTTTATACTTATATAGAAATAAATGAATACAGCCTGGAATATTATATTTATAAATTATGAGCAGTTTAAAATGAAAATTCATCATTAGATGTACAATATACAAGTTTAACAAAATTGTGACTGAATATGAACAAAATAGCAACTCAAAAAAGTAATTAATGTGAAATTTACATTGTTGACTAAATGACTAATGCGATCGTATTTCTGAAAAAAGTTCGATACAACATTTAAATGAAAATGACTGCTAAAATAAAAACAAACAAGCAAGTATAATGTTGTTAAAAGTATAATGATGCATTAACCAAAAACAACATAATTCGATTTACAAATTATAAATAGATATATTGAAGTGATTTTAATTGGAATTCGCATTGAAACGCGTGGTGCAGTTGCCTCTCCTGGTAGTTAATACCAGGAAATAATAAATAAAAACTACACAGTACAAATAACACAGTTACGATGTAAATGTATCATTTAATAAAATACAAATAGCACGTCCATTTCATAATAATTGAACAATGTACAACGAAAATATTTTCTTTAGACATAAGGGTTTTTTTTTTTTTAATCAATAGTGCAAAAAGACATTCGAGAACAAAGCTGCGTGCCCCGTATAAATAGTAAACCATATAAACTTACTGTTCTTTTTGCGCCCACTCCTTGACTGTCAATATTTTTTGCAACAACTGCCGGATGGCATATGGACTCAAGTTTTCAACCATTTTTGTTTCTTTCTCCGTTTTTAACTGTAATTTCATTGCTTCTAAGACCCATCTACAAATCAAAATACAAACCATTGATTTATAAGAACTAAAATTCAATAACAGTTAGGAATATGTGTATATGTCAAGTCACCTGCTATTACAAACGGTATTAAAAGCGTTCAAAATAATATGAACCATAATACAAATTTTGTTTTAATAGAACATATAATACAAATATATTAATAATGTGTACCTGTGTACCAAATATCATTTTTCGATTTATTGAAAACGTAATTACAGTTTTACAAAACTTGAATCTATTATTTACCGTAAAACTATAATACTCTATAAATTGCCTACACAGAACGCCGTAAAATCGTTATTATTGCGTCTATACCTACAAAAATTACACACAGTTCGGGTTTAATATCATAAACGTATGTATTGATTTCAATATCATCAAATTATTTTAATGGCATTAGTACGCACCCAGAACTAATAATTAAAATGACATTATTCACATGAATGAATTCTACTTAAAATAACTACTCGTTCGTTTTTGCCCTATATATTATAATACTTCCGAGTAGCTAACTGTTAAATAATAAACATGCAAATAATAGTATATATACCGAGGTAGTTAATATACACTGCGGGCGTATAATCGTACAATAATAAATATTGAATAATTTTACGCATGCAACTCACGTAATAATAAATGTAATTAAAAATAATTAAAGTTAATACACAAAAATACACTTAATGCGTATAGTTCGCTGCAGTTGTTGAATTAATCAATAATTAAGTATGATTCTCCGTTAAATTTACGTCTCGAAGAACGTATTTATATAAACTTCTTGGTATAAAAAAAAAACATCGGTTCCTTGAATACAACTCCACGGGAGTGTAATATCGGAAACAAATAATTAACTAAAAAAGATAATTAAAAGTAATTTATTAAATTCCCATGATTTATAAGGTTACGGCAGTGGCGCAATATAATCCGCCAGCTATGAACCCGCGATTATTTCGGAAAAATGTCAGGAGGATGTTTTGTTATATAAATCATCGGTTCGCTCGGTACACAGGATAGTCTTGTGGTTTTTTCGAGAAGGCCTGTGGCGTTTTTATCGCATTTTGCAAAAAAAAAAAATCGTGCAACCTTAAATAAATAATATTTTTCACGCGTGCATATACATAAATTTTTTACATGGTTTTTTATAATTTTAATCGTCACGCATACTTACCCCACTCTAATTTTCAAAATTCCTTTGAACACATCTGGATTAGTACCGATCAGCCTGCCGCAGTACAGAATTATTTCCTGCTGCAGCACCGCTTGTATGATGTTGTACGGCTGTATGGTTGAATACATTATAGAGTGTATCGCTGCTGGTGTCATCGGCTTGTCGAACACCGTTTCCTTTTGATCCACCACTCCGACGGTGAGCTATGACGGGCAATATGTATTGGTTTAGCCGTTTCCCACACTTGCTTACAATAGGTACAAAATATGTGTATGTTTTTTTTTTTTTTTTTTTTGTTTTTATTCGTCAAAAACTATGAAATATCTCGGAAAATAATGAATTTTAAACTAGATACAAATCAGATGTTGAATTACTAAATTTAATAATTTTAATTTTTGAACTACAAGAAAAAGTAAGGATAAACATGTTTTATACATTTTCTGTTTACATCTATGTATTCTATATTGCTGTCCGATATTTTAGACAGTTGCAGCTGATTCATTTATCGATTATCAACAGAGACGGTGTTAGGGTTTGAGAGGCCCTAAATTGAAACAATTTTAATTTATATCATAGGAGTGATTGTAATAAGAAAATTAATACGAAATCTTTGAACAAACTTTTATTGATTTAATAATAATAATAAAAAGAACACTTGAATATTATTTGTATAAAGTATTTTAGTATAATTATTACATGGCCTATCGTATATGACTAAAAAAATGTTTGCTTGATTTTTTTAAAGTGAAAGTTTCTTAGAGATTTTTATAGGTAGTCAATATTGTTAGACATTTCTTGTTCAATAGAAATAAATGTAAGATCTAAAAGTTTATCTTGGCTTAATTCATTCCTCGGGTATGATTTGAGGTAAGTTTCGAGAAACTTCTTTCGACACAAGCTGATGTTACTGGTATTTAGTCATAAATCGTTCATCAATTTATCGTTCTCAAAAATATTTAAAGGCAGAACACGCAAAGAAACTACGTCAAATTTTCCGAAAAAAAGACGTTGGTACAGTTTTGGTCCATTTCGATAGACAGTTATTGCCTTTTCTATCTAAGAAAGAAAATGACAATAGACTTCCGATAGTAATCAGTTTCGCTGGAAATGAACAGTTGTTGTGTCTCATTCATAAAATCAGGAACGAGTAAATATAAAGCTCTAGCAGTTTATAAAATAAATTTAAAAATATTTTTTTACCATGAAGACTTTTATTTAATAATCGACAAAATTTGGCGTCCGCGATGTTTGTATTTTTCTTGTACGAGTTTATATTAAATTTTGGTTTTCAGTGACAAACAAAATAAAAGCTCTTCGGATAGATTTAAAATGTTTGAAAAGTCTTTACGCATATTAAAATATTTTTAAAAATATTGAGGAGCATACCGACAAAAATGTCTAATTTCATACATGAAGACCACCATAATGTGTATAGTTTTTCATTTCTGGTTTTGACTTGATTAACTTATAAACGCATGTATAAAACAAATTGTTTTTAGTTGATTAATGTTTTTTTGGTGTGCGATAAGCTAATCCTAAGATTACTCAAAATTATGTCTAGTTACATCATACGAAATTCAAACAATAATAAAAATTGTTGCTAACGCTTGAGTGTCTGACAAGTGTTGCCGATTGTTCTTCAGTGAAAAGTGATTTTCTATTTTGCTATCGTTTGTTCACGAAGTAAAAAAAAGGAAAAAGATAAAATAATAACAAAATTGATACATATGAGAACTCTATAATTATTTTGTATAAACAAAGGCAACGATGGTGATCGGTTGATCGATGTGTGTTTTTCTTATTGGTTACAGAGAAAACATAAATAGTTGTCTACAACTTATAATAATTTACAAAGTTTAATGCATACTACCTTAATAAAATTATTTTTACTTTGCAAGAACGCATAATACATAACATGTTAAAATTTAATTTTTATACCAATAGAAAAATATAATTTATTAATTTTCTTAGTTCACGTTTTTTGTTTTATGATTTTACTTTTGTGTGTCTTTGATGGTGGTCAATGCAAGGCTCTGGACAGATGTCCCACTTACCCTACCCTAGTACCGTTTCTGATTATCAATACATTGCATAGTATAATATTAGTATAGTATAAATGTGTTAAGGAAAATAGTAATATAAATGAATAATTTATTTCATGATTTAAACAAAAATCGTACAGGTAGCGATGAAAAACTAAAATATACATGTTGATAGTGTTCTAAAAAATAATGGTAGAATGGCAAACAAAACACATTAATATTACGAAAATATGGAAATGTTAAATAAAGTTCTTCGATAGAACTTAATAAAAAAAAAAAAGAAGTATAAATAATTATGTTTTCCAAGATATTATTTGATTAACGATGAAAATAATAACTCAGTGTATAAAAATATAACTATATAGTATGTGTAAACAGTTTTTATACCTGTTTCCCGTTGACCAAAACAGTGGTAATAAATGGACTTATGCTGTCGACCGTGTGGCACAATAAGCTGCTGCAATATCGAACGGCTATCCAATAGTGAAGACAACCGGCGCTGTGGTATAAAGTTGTCAAATGTTCTCTGACTAAAAACATAATAATACATTGTCAGTTGAAAACCAAGCAACAATCACTAAAACTGAAATGGTACTAGATCGAAAATCAAAGTCTGCAGGTTAACCTCATTTATTCACATATATTTTTTAATAATTAAAAGCAATGATACAATTGATCGCATAATCTAGTGACTATATAGTTAAATATCAATATACCGTGATATGAAAGAGCTACACCTCGCGGTAATTTCAATAAATGTATAACATTATTTTCGGAAACAAATTCTCAACAAAATTTGGGAAAAGTTTAAATAGTTATTTTTCCATCAGCACACTTAAAATCAAATAAAAATCATGCCAACAGTCATGTATTGAGTTTCTCGGCGATTTGATTCTAAACCAAAAACACCGTTAGCAAAATAAAATATACGCAATAAATAAAAATATACTGAATATAATATACTAATATATGTCAGTAAGACATCGCTAATTTACTCTGAAGATTAAAAAAAATCGTTCAGCAATATAATCAAATTATATTTTTTTTTTTATGTTATTAAGGATGTAAATATAGTATATTAAATATTTATCAGTATTTTTAATGAGGTACGAAATATTTATGTATTCAGTATTTTAATGTTGTTAATATTTTATTTTACTAAGCCGATTGCTTACAAATGTCAGTTGAAATGTTTATACTATAAATAATTCACACAAAACTATTATTTTTAATTTAACAACTGAATATAGTGTTTTTATTTATCAGTTATTTATAAAACTAATAATTACTGATCATTTTAACTTTTAATTTCGTAAATATATACTCCCTTTGTAGTAGTTATAGCTTTTACTATGGACCTATAACATGTGAATCAGTAAGTGTTATATGTAAAAATGTTTTTCAATACGTATTTGACCTTTTGTATATTAATGTAACTTTCAGAATAAAATATAATAAATATATAGTTTACACTTAAAATAAAGAATAAAAAAATACAAATCATTTTTAACATTAAATCACTCTAGAGCGATCTGATTTCAACTCAAAAAAATTCACTATTTCTAGTATCATTGGTTATCATATCTCTAGTTGATAGAGAACGTCAATCAAATTAACACGGATTCTCAAAAAACTTTAAAATCATTCTGTTATCGTTCTGTTTTCATAAGGAAAATTAAAACTTCTAGGTAATTACTAAATACCAAGTTTTTATCAACTAACATATTATATGAAACAATCTTATCGACAGATTAAAATAAATCAATATATATATATATATCTCGAAGCCCATTTATACTAAGTACGAATCTAAACTTCGAAGTCCCTAATGGAGAGTAATTTCACTTTAACGGTTTTGAGTTTATATAGACAACAATAATTCTGCTAATGTAGTATGCTAATGATGGAACATTTTTCAATATTTAAGTGTACATTTATTTAAGTGTAAATTTTAATACAAAATTATATGTCATTAGATTTATATTAATATACCAACAATTGCATATGAATGCGATAAGAAATAATTTGGACTTATTGAGAGGTATGTCATATACAGAAAAACTATGTTATAAACAAATAAGGCTTAAGCTAGTAAGAGAAAAAATAAAATAGAAAAAGCTGGTTGAGAATATTATATATAAGTCAAAGAAAGAAGACAAGGGATAGATGAACGTTACAAGTGAGTAGGAGTAGAATAGTTGTGCTCAATACATATTACGAAGTGAAGAACGGATTACTACCCTTGAGTAGCGGACTTAAATTTTGTGTGGAATAAAAACATTGAACGCACTACGTTCCCAGTACCCGTGAGCTTAAATTATCGCACTTACGAAATCTAAGCTAGTTCGGATTTCTCTTGACTTCAGGTCTCATCGATACATGTTTAATGAGCAGAAAAAATAAACTCGTATTCCCGAAGAAAATATTGTAATCCAAAACCTTTTCACGACGAATAGCAAAATAATAATCTGATTCTGTGTGGTATTAGTGCATGTAAGCATAAATAACTCGCAATATATGTGTTACCGGCAATATGGTAAATGTAGGCATTGTTTAGAAATCCTAGGCTTTCTATAGAATTCCTTTTGCTGTTGGGCAATTTATTAAATTTTAATGTTAACTTCGAGACGATTCATAGTGTTCCTAAGATTTCTATAGAATGACAATGCTACGTTAGATAAATTATAAATTTTAGAATAGTATTTAATCAAAAAATTGTTTATTATTTTAATAATTTATTATTAATTTATATATTGCAGCATACAACTGATACACTTTGAATTACATAAAGTATTATATATTTTACATAAACATTTTTAAGTTTCACACTTTATTTAGTATGTGCATTAATAAAAAAAAAAAAAAAAAAAAAAAAAACATTCAATAATCATGGGATGTTTATTCTTCTTCTAATACCATGTTTAAGTAGACAAACATTATATTTTATCATATTTCTCATTTAATAAAAATACGGTTTTGTTGAACTTTTTCTAGTTTTATTTAATTCGGTATGAAAACATTCTGACATCGTTATATAATAAGTAATCAAAATACACGGAAACTTGGACTTTATTGAACCAATTACACGTTTATTACTTTAACAGATATTTTATAAAATTATTTTACCTGTTTTAACGAATTGACATGATAAGCAACTTATCTATAAGATAAGTATATCGTATATACGATTGTCAAACATATAACTGTGTGTAAAATATAAATGTACATACAAATGTTTACTAAAATATAACTCTATATCGATGGTATACATTGCCTGTATTTATACCATTCATTCGGTATTTTATAGAATACCTAATCATTATATTAATTTTATCCTTTTCTGTTCATTTTTGACATTCTATAGAATTCCAAATTCAATATTTTACCGATAATGTATGCATAGTTTTGCTCACTAATAATTTTCATAGCATATATAAATCTGGAAATTCTTTACGCGATTAGCCATATGAAAAATCACACAAGTTAACAAGGAATTCTCAAAACCAACCTTCCTATTAACTGTGTTATTGATTTTTGCTTTGAAATTTTCACAATCTATAGTTTTTAGTGTGTAAAAAATTATACTGTCTTACTTGTAGATCCATTTACTTCCTTTTCGAAGCTTTCTCTTTTCAACAACAGGCCATAAAGCTGCGCTTGTGAGAATAGACCGACTCCGTTTCGTATTGTCTGAATAATTTCGTTAGTACTCTTATTTTGATAATTCTGCAATGTCATAAGAAGTAAAATTAAATTGTGTAAATATGTAGATTATATGAAATAATAATATAAATTATTAAACTGAAATAGACTTCCGTATCTTAATTTATTCTTAAATTGCAAAGACACTATTCTGCATAAAATAGATGAATATACAAAATTATTAATATTGTCTGCTTTAAAGTTGAAATACTGTTACCTGTGTTACAAATAATACAAATTATTATTATTGGAACTTGGTGTCCTATGGAAATTTTATTAACATAACGTTTACAAGTACGGTATTTTATTTAAATTAAGTGAGGTAACAGCTACTGCAATATGTTTAAAAGTTTTTGAATTAGCAAATAACTCTTAACCGAATTTCTTAAAATACTTTTTTTGCTAACAGAATTATTTTAATTTATAAGAAAATATAATGTTGTATTCAATACTATGTGAAATGAAATATTATAACTACATACAATTTTACAATACAATTATATAATAAAAAAAAAAAAAAAAAATGATTTAAGCGTCAATTCGTTCATAGCAATAATTTAACTTGAAATAATCCGTCAACAATATCTGCACATTGGATGTATTTTTTATTTTTTTTTTTTTTTTTTTTTAATAACTATCAAACAGCAAAATAATATTTTTTTTTTAAGAATTTGTAAATCAAATATTTACCTCGATGTTTATAATATCTTCCGTATAAACCGACGCTTTGGGTACATCCGTCAAGCTCTGATAACCGCTATAATCGTATTCCAATTGCTTGAAAGGTTCAAATTCCAAATTATTTGCTCCGACATTATTCATAAAGTCCAAATGTTCTTTAACGTTATAATAACACACAATCAAAAATACTCAAAACTGCTGTTAAAGTTATACGACATACCCATACACGACGAAGACAGTAAATTTTGTAATCTCCCGATTCTCACTTTAATACCATCACAGTGGCCTTTCTTTAGCATTGCAAATAAATCCAACATCTCTTCAAACTGCGGATCTCTATAAACCATGTTAAGAATAATAATTACAGTACGCAGGATGTGGATATCTCTATAAACTTTCGTTATCCCAAATAAAGTTGTTCGCTCCGCGAAACGTTTTATTTTTATTTCTCAAGACTTAATACTAGTCAGGAAAATCGATAAACCTATTTCTCTCATTCACACATACACTCTCTCTCTTTTTCTTTTTATATATTTATATGCTACATTACTTGTTATATTCAAGTGCCTAGTGTCTAATAAAAGAACTGTTTATTCGGTTTACTCAAACAATCGATAAGTTATGGACACTATAATATGTTGGTTATACCTCATGTGTTCTTCTCGAATTAATAAGCAGACCGTGGGTCTTCCAGACAACCGCCAAAATCTACTGACAAATTGTAATTCGGTTTTAATGTCATCAATCAAAAGTGACATGTCTCTATATAGGTAGAACTCAGATACTTCGAATATAAGAGGATAACACAGAACTGTCATGCCGCATACTCTGTACATCTAAGTACAAATGAATGGATTAATTGCAATGAAACGTACGATATACCAAAATATTACTTTACTGGTTCCAAGCGCACCGATTGGTCGCAGAGGTCTTCCGGTTAATTTCAACTTGCTATTTATGCCCAAATTTTTATACACCTAAACAATACAGAATTTTCTTAAAATATTTATATAGGTACATTGAATTATAAGTTGAGCACAACATATTTTAACAGAATAACAATCGATTTGAATCCAGTTTACTTTTCATAATACAACATACGTTTTAAAAAAATCTCCTAATTGTAACGTTTTCGGTTTACATCAGTATATGAATACACAACACTCCTTATCTTCGAATTCAAATAAATATGTTTTGTGATTTATTAGAAATGCAAAACTAACTTAACAAGATTAAATTTGATTTTCACATTTTCACATTATTGTTATCGCAATTGACTTTAGTGTGATACTTTTTTCTATTCCATATTTTTTAATACAAAACTCGAACGTCAAGATTCAACTGATAATTATAATCATATTTTTATATCAAAGTAATAATAACTCAAACTTAGTTTATGTCAATTTTGAAAGTGTATCAACACTTTTAAATTAAAATTGTTGGAACCATTCAGTTATCACTATATCTTGGTAAAAGTTTGGTCTGAAACCAATATAATTTTTTTTTTTTTTTTGTACGCATGTTTAATACATAAGAGATTATAATTTTATTATTCCAGGCATCAATTATTTTATCCACGTTAGTATAAATTAAAAAGGTAAATTTCAAATAAAGATTATTAGGCCAAAATAGTTTGCTTAAAAGTTATATGTTAGTACACAGTTTAAAACCATCGATAGTATATTGTATGATAGAAAACACGAATATCACAAAACATCTGTTTTTAAATGGCAACAAAAAACTGCTTAAAATCTGGTAAATTTCATATTGGTCTTTTTTTTATGAAGTGTTTAAACTATAATTTTATAATTATTAATTATAAAATTAATTAATTATTATTAATTCTTCATGATTTCAAATAATGTTTTAAGAATTTGATGTTATATGTATAATTTTGAATTGTACGTAGGTAATTCAATAACTTTTTTGAAAATAACATAACTTAAAAATCACTCAAGAATCATATAAACTATTGCAGTCTTACGACTGATGTGTTGATGTATTGACACATTTGATTTTATATGTGAGTGTTGAAAATTTAAAAATATATTAGTAAAGTTTAGTTTGTTTTAGATCAATGTTTCCAAATATATGGATCACGATCAAAAATTGGGTTGGAAAATATTTTTGGCGGGTCGCTGTACGTAAACTAATGTCAAGAAAAATATCTTAATTATCAAAATATAATTATATACTCGTATTATGAATTAAGGTATTTTTACAGCATAGGCAATTTCGTGATAAATTAAATTGATCCTTAAAAATACAATTACGGTAATTTTAAGGATTAATGTAATTTTCAAATCATTCGTTTAATAGAAAATTAAATTTTACGTTCAACTATTAATATTACGAAATTTCCTATGTCACAAAAATACCTAACATCATTCTACATCAGAATTCAGTTTTTGCAGTACTATGTTAAAGTTTATGATAATATTTTTTATAATAAAATGATAAGTAACGTTATTATTTTAAATCATGGGTTTTTTTTTTTTTTTGGAGGGTCATCTACCCAATACAAAGGACATTTATGGGCCACCTAGTATAAAGGTTGGAAAATACTGTTATAAATGATATTACTAGTATATATTATTTTCATAATAATTTTTATTTTGTATATAAACTTTTTTTAATCTCTGATTTGTTGGAATTTTTCACAATTTACTGTCAAACATTTCATACATAAGGTTTTAAATTTATCGTTTTTGTTTATCAGATTTTTTAGTAGAGTTGTGTGCGTAACTATAAAACAAAATATATATATATATATATATATACAGTGCCGTGTTCAACGAAGGACAAAGGGGGCAATTGCCTAAAAATAAACTTTTAATTAGATGAAATTGACTACAATACATCACATTTTACGCTGACAAGGAATAATATTTTATTGTATTTTTTAAATGTTATAATTTATTTTGATTTTATTTATTATATACGAGAAAAATAGTTTGTACAAATCTGATGTCCCGATTTTGAAGGCCCATCAGGGCGGTACCTTGCACTGCCTGCACTGGCAGTAGTTGCGGCACTGCATATAATGAATAATATATTGTATACTGATGTACAATGTACTTATGTACCTACTGATTTACCTATTTTAAAAGTTAATAATTTTGTTATACCTAGTTGATTATTGATGACCAATCAAATTTTAAGTTTGACAAAATGCCTGATTTAAATAATGCAAAAAATGATGATGAAGTATGTATTATTTATATATACATTTTTATATATTTTGTATATTAATATATCTATTTAATAAGCTAATAATTTTGTTTTAGTTGATTATTGATGACCAATAAAATCTTAAGTTTGACAAAACGCAGAAAATGATGATGAAATATGTATTAATTATGTGTGTGTATATATATATATGTTTAAATATAATACTAGGTAATGTACTTAATATTTATAAAGTTCATAATTTTGTTTTTAGTTTGTTATTGATGACCATCCCAAATTAATATCTGATCCAGCATTATGGAAAATCAATAAGTCAAGCATAAATTATTACATACTAAATCAACCTAAAAAAAATGTTGAAACAATCAACTCTAATGCAACAAGAAGGTCAATCGGTAAATATATAAGACATCTCCCTAGAGATATTTTTAAAAGAACAATGCAAATGGAGAAATTGCATTTAGAGATTAGATTTTGTATTCTAATTCAAAAAATGTATTATTTTGTTTTTATTGTTTGTTGTTTGATGGACATAAAGTATCATTTGAAAATTAAAATAGAAATTTTATCAATTGGAAAAATTGTTATTAAAAAGTTAGTGATCATGAAAAATCATCAAGTCGTGTAAAATCAATACAAACTTGGTATTTTAGAATTTCAAATAATAATCAAAGTAAGATAGATAATGTTGTACAAAAGCAAATATCTAATAGTTTGTCCTACTGAAAAAATGTTTTACACAGAATAGTAGAAACACTTAAGTTTTTAACTTCCAGAGGTTTGGCAATGAGAGGCTAAAATGAAACACTTGGATTTGTACATAATGGTAATTATCTTGGTTGCTTAGAACTAATAGCTAAATTTGATCCGTTTATAAGTCAGCATTTAATAAAATATGCAAACAAAGGCCGTGGTAATGTCTCTTATATATCATCAACTGTTTGTACTGAATTCATTATAGTTATGGGAGAAGTTGTTATTAAAGAAACAGTTAATCAAATTCAATCAAGAAAATACTTCTCCATTGTTGACTCGACCCCAGGCATTACTAAAATTGATCAATTAACCATAGCAATAAGGTATGCTATGTCTAACGGATTTCCAGTCGAACGGCTTATTGGCTTTCTTCCATCATTTGACCATAAAGTAGAGGACATGGAAAAAGCAATTATTAATACATTTTCAGAACTAAATATAAATATTAAAAACTGCCGTGGCCAAGCCTACGATAATGCTTCTAATATGAGTGGTATATATATAACGGACTGCAATCTAGAATTAAGCGTTGTGCAACTACAGTTGAATTTATTCTTTGCTCAGCGCATTCCTTAAATTTGGTGAGATCTAATGCAGCCGAATCTACTTCTTTCTTTCTACACAATTTTTTTGTACTTCTCAAATAATTTAGTGTTTTTTGTTTTTATGTTGAATTTTTCATAGTGCTGTATCAATTTTAATTTTTAATATACCTATTACTATGAGACATTTCTCAAAATAATCAATTGTTTTCTACACATGATAATCAATTTACATATTAACATAATTCAGTATTGTATTTTTTGTAGTTCAAGTCGTTTTTATTAGTTTCCAATACAATAAAACAAAAAATGAATTAATTTTTATATGATTGATTTAATAACATCGTATATACATAATTGATTATATAGATAGGTATTAATTTTAAACATCTACGCCCAATACCTATATTTTGTCCAAGGAGTGATTGCGTGATGCGATGAAGTATTTGTATCATATTCATTTAATCACTATATTATACCTTTTTTTTTTTAAAGATTGGTATTGATATTGCTGTGGTGGTAGTGATGGAGGGAGGTTATGAGGCGGTAAAATGTGTGTGCCCCCGGCGGCATTACAACTTAACACGGAACTGTACATATATCAAGTATTATAAAAAACTATTAAAATATAGACGGATTAATTAATTACATAAATATAATTGTTATATAAAAAAAGATTATGAAAACACCCCGTTTACACGAAATACCATTGATACATTGTATATTATTAAGTTGATGGTTATACCTTGACCAGCTGAGTGGATGACCAAATTTGAACAGGTTCGACTTCGTGCGGCGTCTGCGTCTGGATACCGTACGTGGCCATCATTGCTTGCAGTCTCATAGATTCAGCTATGAGAACCACTTGAACTACTAAATCCGTAGCGGTCCCCTACAACGTACAATAACATAATAAATCAATTACAGTCACGGAAGACAACAAGAACACTCTGCCGGAGCACACAAAACAGCCGATTGCAGCAAGAAGACATTTTAGGCGAAAACAACAGCAGCGTGTACACCTTGTATAAAGGCAGAATAAATGGGTGCTAGTAAATACAAGCGAGGTTAAAAGGAGTAGGACAACGGGAACTATGGCTGCAGCCCTCAAATTGAAAAACATAAAATAAAATAATTTTATAATTTTTGTACACAAAAATAATTTATTTTTATACAACTTATACTAAAGCTTAATTATTGTTCAACCTATAAATAAAAAAGCACAGAAAAGTGATCTTTTCAATTCGAATCGAAAATGTTCAAAAAGAAATAAATATTTCGTTGGCAACACATGAGGAATGTAGGTACAAATCGATAAGAGCTCGTTTTATAATAAAAAAAAACACTGATAACATTTTTTGACAGAAACACTTTTTTTAAATGTTGCTATTACAGAGTGTAGTAGTGTAATTTTTTAATTATTTCACAAAATTTATAAAACTCAATCATCTTTATTCATCTTTTTCCCACGGTAAGTTAAACTATTTTTAGAGTGTCAGTCAACGAAAGCCAACAATTTACGATATAACACAAAAAACATTTATTTTTTATTTTTTTTATATTGTAACCTATAAATTGTCGACTGTCCAAATGTGTTTAAATTAATGAGATCAACCCGGCTCTCTAAATCCCTTCTGCCTCTAGCACTCCCTGGACCCAACAAATTTCTAAATGAGCCCTAATAATCTATATTAATGCCCTCCTCCCCGATTTATAGTCCTGTGGCGTAATAATATAATGTTGATACGCCACCACCGTTGTAAACGATAGTAATTAACAATGTATGTACACAAATATTCGTATAAGCAGTATTAACAATATATTGAGAGTGTTTATTTTTTTTCATTTATTTATCAAAACGTATGAATATTTGAGAAAATTGGTTTTTGAGGTAAGCAGGTAATCACGACGAATACAAAAGGAGCAGTAGAAACGAGCATAATGTTATATAAACATCATAAACGTATGGACGATGAATGTGTGTTTTTATTGCATTCATAAAAATATATAACCGTGAGTGTCCCTGGTAAATGTAAGGTAAATGTAAATATTATAACGCTGTATCAACACACGGGGGGGTATGGGATAAAATTTTTAATTAAATTAAAATATACCAAGATATTTGAAGAAATTCAAAATTAACATCATTCATGGGAGAAATCTATGCCAAACACAAAGTAAAAAAAAAAATCGAAAATCCAACGATACACCTAAATAAATTATTATTATGAACATATGAATCTTTGTTACATAAATATATTATTTCAACTTAATTGAGGATTACTAAGAAAACATTTTTTTTTTTTATAACGTTAGAAACACAAAAACCTTTAGGTAATAACTTTTCAAAAAAAAAAAAAAAAAAAAAAAATGTATTCACAACAATTAAATGGATGAATCATAATATTTATAATATAAAACCGTCTTTAAAATGTTTCTATTTACATAATGTTACAGTTGCCGTGATAAATTTATGTAAATAAAGTTATATATTGACATTTCTAAAATTATATTAAAATTTCCATACTTAAAAATTGATAATTTAAAATATGACCACGTAGAAAACTAAAATAATTTAAAAATAATTACAAAATACTTCAGCGTTATAAATGTTTATACAAGTTCTTTACAAATTATGTTGAATTGTAATGTGCAATCAACATATTATAATATTTATATAAGCGAATACAAATATCTACATATTGCAAAATAATAAAATATACAAAGCGATTCGTTTAACATCCTACACTGAAACTGTTTAGTGCCTACACTGAGGTATAAACTACTCAATGGATTGATATTTAGTTTAGTTATTTGTTCATCATCATGCGATCAGCAAAATATTCTACAGCAATAATTGTGCAATCAGCAGAGCAGAATTATAGAACAGCGAAGAATCTGTAACCAAAATGTAACTGAGGAAGCGTAGTATGGAATTGATTGGCTAGTTACAAACACATTTTAACATATGTATAAAACAAATACACAGAAAACAAAATCGGAAAAGAGAGTAAAAAACTTTTACAGAAAATAATTGCCAACGTCTCTTTTTTAGCATTAAACGTTATATTTTTTTTTATTATTTATATACTAAATGCATGTAATTGAAACGTGAAAAACAATAGAAGTTAATTTTCCAAACATGAGTCATGAAGTTGATCATTTGACACAATTGTATTAAATTACTTGTAATCAACTACCTGCTGTTCAACGTCAGTCAAAAAAATAAAAAATAAAAATGTTTTTCCTAGTATTATTTCTATCATTTCCCCCGAGAATATATATATATATACCAATGTATAAATTAGGTCCAATAAATCAGGTTTTATCTTGTACGCTGCTGTGATTGGTTAATATAAATTTAAAAAAAACTAAATACTCATTTTCAAAAGGAAATATTAAACTATGCACTTCAGGCCACAATAAATGCTTTGTTTGAGATACATGTTGTCAATATTAGCAACTGTATAACACTAGTTTACAAAAATTAAAATCGAACTAAATAAGAATATAGCTGAACATAACTGGCAGATCAATGTTTGAATCTGGGCTTAAGGATTTTAAGATTTTAGTATAAAAAGTCCGAATATTTAGAGTTATCTACATCAATCAACCAGAGGATTTGCCTAATCTGTTTATATCACGCTAAAAATATGAACAGATGTACTAAAAAACCAATTTCAACCCTTTGCGGTTCTCTGTCATTTACTCTTCATACCTACTTAACCTGCTCCACGCACTATTATTTCCTTGGCTTAATGGTCTAACTTAACACAGTTACCTTAATAAATCAACCTTATTATATTATATTAATACACTAATACATTACATCTCTTTTTGTTCTCGTGAAATATTCCAATCAACTACCTCATTGTACATTTATAATTAGTAAGTAATAAATAATTCTAGTATCAACATTTTATACACTTTTCCAACAATTCTCACAAAAATCATGGCATTGCTAAAAATTATGCTAGTTCTATAAATTGTTTAAATATTATAAAAGTATGTAGATACAACACCAATTGGCTACCTACTAAATTAATGTTTTAATACAGTAAAAAAAAAAAATAAATAAAAAAAAAATTGCTTATAATAAATATTAACAAATAAATATTATAAATCAATGTTTGTATTTATATAGATAACCGCTTTTTATTAGTATTATTAACGATGTATAATATTTTTATACGTATAAATAGGTACATTAATTTTTAATTAATTTCAGCGGCCAATATAGTATGCATATAATACTACAATTCACTTAACAACATCACATACAAATAACTACAACTCGATATATTATTATACATACAAACATCTACGATTCCATTTAGTATTTTGTAAGTATATATAGCTATCATAAAATATTAGTTTCTACTTTGAAAATAAATATTATACTAGTATTCACAAAAGGGCGTAAAAACCACACCATGCGTTTTTTTCTGACGAATTTTGGTTTTACTTACAGAACTTTGCCTCGTCTGGTTCATTTATGCAAACATGTGAAACAAAATAAACATTTAACTTTCAGTATTCCTTTCATTATTCATACTACAAGTGTAGTCGTGAAACAAAATTGATAGAACGTTTGACTGGTTTTTTTTTTTTTTTTTATTTCCTTTTACCTGGAATGCAGAATAACGTCCTGGCCGTTTGGGTCTGTTATAGGACGGCAAATATCGGCGAATCGGGTCTAACTCGTTGATGTGTAACAGGTTAGAAGTAAGAAGTTCAGCTATGACATACAACGCTTGGTTCCATAGGAATAACGGCGCGTCCTGTCCGTCATCGTAATATGGCGCTGCCGACCTCAGCTGACTGCCCGGATCTGCTTTCTCGTAGTCCACGTTCTCCTTGGTTACGTAATAAAACATAGGTATATATGGATCTGAAATCAGTAAACCGTACGTTATGAAAACCGTGTTCTTAGTCACACGTCCTTGGATTGCTAGACCCAACCGCCGAAACTATCAGTCTTCATGACGTCTTTCAACAACATTTTGTACTCCTCGACTTGTTGCGGTAAATTTTTGAACACTCCATCAATTATCATATACAAAAAAAATATGGGCCATTCGTTTTCTATGTTTTCAAAATCCTAAAACGTATCCAAAATTATTAAAAACGTCCAGAAATCGCACACTTCCGACTATTTCGAATTTGTAGTATAAACAACAATAACCGTCGTAGATAATATAATACGATTCTTTACAACAACATTCGTAAAATAATCAATTAAAGTTCAACTTTAACGCGTTGTGGACGCTTCGACGAAAGAAATGAAAGAGAAAAAATGAGAGTTACAATGTATATGTATACATATATAAATATACGCCTATTATTATATTAAATGGAATCACATTGTGAGTCGTAAAAAGTTCTTCGATCTGTTACAACTTATCTTCGGTTTGGTTGATGTGTTCCTATAATGTCAAATATTACGACTGTTACAAACTTTAGTTTCTCCGACGTCGTAATAGGTCCTCATTTGGTCCTCGACAGCACATTTATAACCGTCTCTTTTGAACCGTTTAAATCCATAACGTCCCTTGAGTTTTTTGATGATGTTGGCTTTGGTATACGATACCAATACGTCCTCGTGAGTAGCAAATGCGGGATACGATATAGTCGAGAGTAACGCTGAATCGACGGCCTACAGCAGACAAATCGCGTGACAAACATTGGGACTAATTGTGGTGAGAAATATTTACTATTAACTCACTTTTGAACTCGATTCTCTCGGCAGTAACGTTTCAAATATACTTCTATTCCTATTGTGTGCGTCAATATCTACGTATATCACAGACCAAGAAGCTCCTTTGTCTCCAAATAAATTACAACCATTAATAGATTCCAAAGCACTTTTAGCCATTCCAATAGAACTATAAAAACAGTTATGGTTTAAAAATAAATATTTTTTGTCGATAGATTAATAACTTGAAATATGAAGTGGTATAAAGAACAATCAGAGTGATAAGTATAGTGCACATAAATGTCATAGTAGAAGTGATAAACTAAAATTAAACAAGGTAAATCATAGGTGTGTACAATGTTACTTATAAAATATATCTTTATAAAACACAATAGTCACACATTAGGAAGTAGATAGGAATATTTTATAAAAAAGAATTGAGTATCGGTATCGGTTTCGTAACTAATAAAACATTAAAATAAATTAAATATTGAATATTGGGTACCGAAATAAAATTTGTTGGTAGGTATACCTATCTCTAATTTTCAGTCATAACATAAAACTAACACCATGTTCCCGATAGCCAATAGCGATTAATTATTAATAATATTATTGCATAAAATGTCCATTTGCTATATAACAATACTACCACATAATCAAAATATTTGAATTTAAATTATTTTCCGAAAAATAAAATTTTAATTAATCGTCGTGATGTTGCGGATGGTCAGTAATGTAAAACTGTAGGTGTTAATTGGAAAAATATTTTTTTGTATACTTTCATTCTGCCAGGAATTCCCTTATAGATTACTTATACACACTTGAATGTTATGTTCTTGTTAAAGCTCTACAAGATATCTCTTTTTTAAATCCTAACAAATTTCTTATTGCCACCGTTGCCAGTCCTCTCGTTTGTTCAAAATCTCTCATTTCAAATCTTTTTGGACATCTCCATTACCGCTTATCCTGCGGATCAAATATAAACCCCATTTTCTTTATCAGAATGGATTAGAAGTTCAAATTCTCTAAATCCCTGGTCACTCATGCGTTATTGGTAATCCTCCTTTAACACATCATTCTTTTTTGCCATTCCGTTATTTGACTTTCTTTAGATTATAATTTTTTTTTTTTTTTTTGAATTGGGAACAATAATTATTTGACCCTTCCAACTAATCTGCTATAGTAAACTATAAGTATAAAATGATTGTCCCTTAAATGCTAGTACTTTCAACATGCATGACATGTTTACTTTTCCTTCAGATGACCATGACTTCTTGGCCATTATTTTCTTTAATATTTATTATTATAGTTAATCAACCTTAATTTATACACTTCTCACTATAATAAATTGATTCGGAACCACATATAAATAACATTAGAATATCTTAACATAAATCAATAATCATATTTTTTCGAATTTTATTATAATTTTCAAATACAATACAATAAATAAATAATCCATCTATTGAAAATAAAATAAAATACATTTTTCTGAGAGTTGTATTATGTATGATATGTATTATAACTTATATTAACTCTCAAAATTGAGATACACCTTATCATTAAAATTTTTTAATTAAAATAAGGTTATATTTTAATCAGATTACTTAATTACTCAGAACTTACTCAGATTAATTGCATTGCATTATATATTGTTTAGTTATTGAAACATTACTGAAACACATTCATACAATTATAATTCCCCAACAAAATGATGCTTGAAGACTGAATTTTTGAAATCCTGACGATTCTATTTAATTTAAATAATTAATTATCTAATTGGTACTTTTTTTCTTTATAAACACATCTTTAAAATTTATTTTTGTCTAGTCTTCATATTTTAACACGTTATACAACAATAATTAATCATTGTATACAAAGACAGACTTAGGATATAAAAACACAATAATGTACCAAACAACAATATTCACATCACGATTTTACCTCTACCTCACAGTTCTGTCCACTTAAATATAAATAAAGGCTGTTTATTTTATATGTAAATAATAAATATTCAGAAATTGACATAATCAGTGAATTATTCAGTATCAAAATCCGATTAAATTTTCCAATTAAAAAGTACAATTTAATTACGGAATCTAATAGTAGAAAGCACCTACAATGACGCAATAGCAATAATTAATTCAATGACATGAAACATAAAAAAATCTTTAAATTAAATAAAAAATCAATAAATCTCAAGATTTTTTTTTTTTTAATACCTATATACAAAATAATGATATTTGTGAATAATAATAATTACAAAAAATAAATCATTATTTGAATTGTGATGATAACTTTAAATACAGTTCTTAAATAAGAAATATAAAAAAAGAAAAATAATTTTAAATATTACTATTGTCTGTTTTCAAACTCAAAAATATATCTTAGACATTTTTTATAATAACTTAAATTCAACACAAAATAATTTTTAAGCATAAGATATACATTTAATTATTTAACTTTAAATATAAACGCTTAGTAGACAAAATTATTTTAAAATGTTCAAATTTATCACTCATATTGATGACAGATTATTTCTCATCAATAAAAAAATAACTGAGAAAATTGAAAAATAACTTGCCCAAGAAGCATTTGTTTATAATTACCGATTTAAAAAAAAAAAAAATGTAACATGAAACTTTTGATGCATATTTATTAGCCAAAAAAACGATAACCGAAAAAAAAAATATTAACTTTATTGTTTAGTAGAACAACACATCTCGTTTTGCTCAAAACCTAAATATATTTAATAACAGTAACGACTATCACACGATACGTTTTTACACACTCGAATTACAAGAGTATACGAAGCTTTCAAACGTTCGGAAATGTGTAGATTTTTTAATTTTAAAATTTAACAGATTAAACACAACCAATAACGAATTTTATATTTTTAGGCAATGCTTAAATGATTAACAAACGTAGACTAGTAATAAACTATGGCAATTAATTAAATGTACATAAAATATTGCAGAACCGAAGAAATGTAACAAAACTAAAACATTTAATTAATTTAATGGCAGTTGAAAACTGTACCGAAAACGGTATTAACTCTAAGGAGTCTAAACCGAAAACTGTCGTCAAATGTTTTCATAAAATCAACGATGTTGGTAACTATGGCGATAAACAATAAAAGCTACGATAGGACGACCACAAGAACACCAAGTATGAGAATTCTACGCACAGCATAGGTATAACTAGAGTTTTATTTTTGCGAGGGCTGATTTTTATAATAAATAAATTACTCATATTTTTTAATTAACATCTGTACCTATTACGTAGAGTATAGATAAATATTTAGGGAAGCTAGACAATAGATTGGGGGGTGATGGCTAAGCACCTCTTTGCCTTCATCTAACTTTATTTGTGAGGTACAGTACAATAATGTCAATAGATTATATTTAGGTATTTTGTAGTAATGGGTCGAACTATTCGAATCTCGAACCGAACCGAACCGAACCCTTAATGTTCGGTTCGGTTTGAAATTCGAACTCGGCATGAAAAAAAATCGAACTCAACTATCAAGCATCTTTTACTGTTCGAAAATCGAACTTGAAAATATTTGTCGAACCAGACTTACTTGCCACGACAGTTCGAAAACCAAATATTTGTAAAATTCTTCAAAAATTATTTTTGAAAAATAAAATTGATAATAATTATTTAGAAATAGACTGTTGGTGATAGAAAGTGGTAAACTGTAAAGAGCACGTTATGCATTATTTATAACAGAGATGGGCAACTCGAAGTTACTAGAGGGCCAATTTTTAGAAAATTTAAATCTAGCGAACCAGAGCATAGAGAAAAAAAAAAGTTATTCAAAATATGAATTTTAATTAGCATTTATATATATGGAAATAATAAATTCAACATACACGATAGCATAATCCAAATGGTACGAAGAAACTGATGTAGTTAAATAGTTTAATAACAGCTATGGTTGAAAGCCGTACTTATACATATATATATATATATATATATATATATATGACATTTAGACATTTAATGATGTTTAATACTAGATAACAATTATTATATTGATTAGTTAGAGCATAGACGATCAACTTTAAAATAGTATGATGTAATTTTAAAATCTATTACGAGCCAAATAAAATAGGCTCACGGGCCGCCAGTTGCCCACCCCTGATTTACAATAATAATGTTATTATTATAATAATAATGTTATTTTTCCAGTTGCATGTGTAACATCCACCCTCCGCCGAACCAAAACATTAATAAGTTGTTTATCGCCAATAAAGGCAACGTATCTACATTCATAAATTAGCTATTTTGTATTTATCATACTTATTATAAAGGATACAATCTATGGTAATATTCCGATACCGCGACTGTGCTGTTAATAAAAACATGTTTACAATTTACATCTTACATTATAAATTCTACTAATCATTCTATATTTGTGAATTATAGTTATTATTACTATTTTTTTTCATATATTATTAAAATATACTGATTGTATTGTCATATTACACATTCGAATTTGAGTTCGACTTAAAATCATAATAGGTTCGATTCGGTTCAGTAGTATATAAAAAAAGGTTCGGTTCAGTTCGAGTTCGAAAAAATAATTTAAACTTCGGTTCAAGTTCAGTTCGATTTAAAAAAATCAGGGTTCGACCCATCACTAGTATTTTGTATACACACGCCAGATTTCAGTCATTTTTAATTTAATTTTTATAAATCATCACTATAATGCTCGAATTAAAAATTGTTTCAATTAAAAAAAAAAAGTGTCTAATTCAATACATTGTCCTAAAACAACACCAAACCTATTATATAATTCATAAATAACTGAATACTAACCTTGCATGAATTTCAGGTGTGTTGTCGTTGTAGGAACTTCCTCTTTCCCACATAGCATAATCTGGCGTTCTGTACGCACGTTCAATGTAGTATACTAAATTTTGAACGAACGCTACTTCATCCTTCGTATAAATTATTTGCAACCCTGATGTAGTCATTTGGACCAAATAAATAAGATATAGGGATACAACATCAATCTGTGAAATTAAAAATATATTAAACCAACATCACGCATTATATTACGTTCCTTCGTTGAATCTCTTCAGGCGTACGAGCTGAATATTTAATCACAACCTACTTAAATCAGTGGTAGTCCTACACGAATTTCGATGTTCAATGAAAATCAATATATCCTATTTTAAAATGTTCAAACGTTGCGGTAAGTCGAACGATAACAACTTTTATGAATTCCAAATTAATATCCGTTTATTTAAATAGTTTCAGTTTATGATCACTAGTGTTATGGTAAGTCTTTATCAGCTACTGGTATGTTATATTGATAACTATACTAAAATATTTTAGTTAAGGTAACCTAATAACGTTCTACCATAATAGTATTTAATATTTAGGTTAGTTATAAATTAATTAGAAATAATTAGAAATTAATTTCTATTTAAAAATGACTATAGTAAGTTAGAAGGTTCTAAATTGAATCATATGTATTTTCTAAGAACAAATATAATTCAGTATCAATGTAGTTTTTAATTTTAATTATTGTATTTGAATAAACTAGTAATAGTTATAAAATTATACGTTTCAAACGTATTTATTATTTAAATAACTCCAAGTGAAATTCTAAGATTTACTATGTAAGCTAGATTTGCAAAAAATCAAATGTAACAGAAAAAGTCTGTATGATCATTATAAAAATGTATATTTATAGTGTAAATTTACCTGCAAATGAGGATATTCTTCACCTGAATATATAACATTGCCGTTTCTTAAATTGAACTTTGAATGTAACGCAAACTTATTACATTGATGTTTTTTGAAATTTTCAACTTTATCTGCCTGTCTGATCCAACATGCTAATATTCCCCTCATACATTTCACCGCAGATTGGCCCAATTCATAAGATTTTCCTCGATCGTCATCTATTCTCCTAAAAACATTCATCTTAAATAATTCATCATACAAAATATTTTTAAGTATATGATCAATACACTTTGATTTTGAGACTCTTTAATGGCCAAAAATTAAACATCTAGTCATCTATTTTAACTATAGAAAACTACTGAAAAAAATTACAACGGATTATATGCATTCTAGATGAATTTGTTTCAAGGTCCTTGATTTTAAAAAGAATACATACAATATATACTATACCTATACGCTTGAAATAAACTCCAAATTGCAGCGGCACAATAAATGCTGTCTCTAACGCTGGCTTCTACATCGTCATCAGATAATACTGGAAATAGACCATTTATAGCGCTTTGGTACCTCAACAATTGTCTTTTGACTACAAGTAAAATAAATAATAGGTAATACAACAAAAGTCAACCAATTTTAAATACATTCGAGTTGTACAATAATAATAATTATAATTTATCATCATTAATACAATTATTATGCACATATTTATTACTGTGACTATTTATTTAAATTTAGAACGTAATATATTTAAAATTGAAAAATAAATATCAAAGTAATACATCGATTTAGGTCAAATCTATTATTGTTAATTACTTAAATACGAAAACTATTGAACCCGTTGCAACACAATAAATCATTAACAATTGGACAGTAATAAATATGATATGTTGTAGGATTTACTGTAACGTTTTCATGAATAGCCGATATTATTCTTTAAATACATTTGATAGATATATATATAGTTGAATAAACAATGTAAATTTGTAAATTGTAATTTGTTTAAATTATTTCCATCACAGAAAAAATTTAACAAATACAATAAAAGTGAACGGTTTTCACCATAAATAAATATTAAATAATAATAAAGTAATAAAATATAACAACAATTAGTAAATTGTTTATATTCGTAAATTAATATATAAAAAATATTTTATACAGTTAGTTCAATGTGATCACATTGATTCAAGCCAAGAATATTCATAAAAATGGTTCAATTATCTGGTACATAGTTATTAATGGTGAGAATATCCGGATTTCATGGATTATCCAAATTATTCAATCCAATTTTGCTGTTCTCAATGACTCATTTTTATATTAACATAAATGTAATAAATGTAATTAAAGTTAATCAATAAAGATAAATTAATTGGGTCATGATATCACTGTAATTCATAGAGGTATAAAATAAATTATCAATGTAATAACTTGTTTTGGTAACTAAAAATAAATAATAAAAACTGTTAAAGTATATTGTAATTCATAAAACATAACATTAATTTTTATTACATTTTATTTTACTAGAAATTAAAAATAATTATAATTCAAATGAAAAGCATATTTATAAATTAAAATAATACTTTGGACGGATACTTTAGCAAATCCCGATAAAAGTTTGATTCAAATTAAGATTTGAATATCAAGTTGTTTCGAAATTCAGATCTTCGGATTTCATACCCATCCCTAATTGCGATTCAAACAAAGGTCACTTTAACATTAGCAACATTTGGTTTGAGACTTAATTTTTAATTTAATAAGCGGTTTATTCTATAAAGTAATCACATTAAGCGAAACTCACTGTATATCAAAATAAATTAATTGATAAATAAATGTTTAGCCTGGAGTATTATTATATTTGTAATGTATCTTATAAACATTAATATTAATTAATTTTTAGTAGAGTTGTGTAACTCAATTAAACGAAGAAAAATAATTTTAATAATACTTTAAATGTACAAACTGATTTTAAAAATATTATTTACAATCTTATCGATATATTTTAAATAATAAACAAAATATTTATATTTCATAACATATCTATATCAAATAATTTTAAATTATATCTATGTAAAATTACTAATCTTTTTCATTGTATTCCTTCTTTTATTTTTTTATATTCAGTCCCGATTTGATTGCATTTGTATATACCTGATGATACATTTTTAATTCAAAACCAGCCATATATTTATTATTAAAAATATAATCATACTCTAAGATAAAAATGTATTTATTTAATAATAATAATATATATCAGAATAAAAAAAAGGAATAAAAATGTTTATAAAATTACCCAATTTTTTTCTCCGTGACAAAACTTATAGGTAATTGATTTTATTTTTACGTGAGAAAATAAAGATTAAGTTGAAATTATCATATGCAAACATATGAGATAAATATTGTGTCACTGAAAAACAGTCGGGCATCTAAATTGCTTTATCATTGTTTTTGACACGTTTGCTACGCCACTGTATAACAATACCGAAAACTGATACATATTAAGTTTTAATTACAATTGTATTATATAATACCAATTTTTTATGTAAATCAACAAATAACACTTTTTTATCTTTGTTATACATTTTTTTTTTTATATTTGCGTTACGCAGGAAACTGATTTATTTTATATTTTATAATTATAACTTTAAAACTTAGTAAACTACATTAATTAGTAATGAGTATAGTTTACTGAGTTATAAATAGTAATGAATTATTACTTACTTAATGTAATGCAAATAATTTATTCATATTGTTTTTATTTAATTTTTAACTACATTTTTATAAAATATAGAGTTTGAAATTAAAAATTTAGTTTCTTCTAACACACTAAAAATTGATCAGTGAATTGTAGTTTCGAATTCAAATCCCAACTTTCATAATAATGACATCAATACTATATATATTATTCTCCAAATACGATTGTAATAAAATATTAGATTTAATACTACATGTCCAAGTATTATTGTAAAATCAAGTCTCATAACTTAATAGTATAATATAATTTAATATAATTACAAAATAGTTCAATATATTGGAAATATTATAGTTTTACCACATTAATTGCTATAATGTAGGAAAATAATGCTTTTTTTTTCTCTTTTTTTTTTTGTTGGAATTTAATACAGGTCTCAAAGAGTTAATGTAAGTAATAAAAATATGAATTCAACTATAGATGATACATCGTTTTCACTTAATTGAGAATTATAATAAATATTAGCACATAATATTACATGATCATAATTAATTTATGATTACCCATTAGTAAATTTAATTTACCTAATTTAAAATTAACGGTAGAACATTAGACTCTATCAACATTGGTTTCGGCGAGTTATAATATTTAATAATATTTAATTACTGAAACATAAATATACTAAATACAGAAATAGAAAATTAAAACGTATATACTTAAGTGAAATAATTTAAGTAGAATAATCGAAAATAACTATTTACAACTTCACCATACGATGCCATCAGAGCCGAAATGAGTCAGAAATTTCTACCGGGAAAATAAAAAAAAAAACGGCACACTTAAAAGTTATACTAAAGGTTTACAACAACCCTAAGAAAACATATATTTTCATATAAAATTATTGTATATTATTTTGAGAATTTGAACACTTATTATTATTATTAAAAATTAAAAAACCGTTTATTTAATTTTAAAATATACGTTTGTCTATCGACACAATGAGCCTAAACCGATAAACCTAAAAAAAAAAAATTCCTAGCGAGTAAAAGTGGCCTAATTCAAACAAGCGGCCCACTGGTAAACTCTCGGTATCCGGCCTGCCCAGTTCAGCCCTGGATGCCATTATATTACTACTACCGTAAATCGATTTTTAAACAGTTTTGTAAAATCACTTTACAGCACATAAATTGTAATAATACTGTAAACTGTATTTATTTTTTGATAAACTACATTTTTCTTTCGCATTCGTGGCGACATTGTTTTGGCTAAACGAAAATGCGTTCTAACAAACAACAAACCAATGCAGACTCCTTTCAAACACTTCACCCAGATAATTATATTAAATAAGATTATACATAGTAGCGCACTCAAGAACGTATTCAAATCGGACGATAGATGCTTAAACAATTATTAATTGATTTTGAAGTGACAATACGGAAAGGCTATTGTTAAAGTTTGGTCATTAAGTCACAAATAACTGACACACACACATATATATATACTTGGATCCGTGCTACGGCGACAGTAGCGGCAGAGAAGCGGTACCAATAGACACACTAAATTCGGTTTAATCGAAAATTGATACAACGTTAATTTAACTTTAAAGCCCTCGATCAATATTAATGATCGAGAATTATTTACGCATAAAGCGAGTAATAAATTTTAAATATTTATTTAATCTACTATTTTAATCTACTATCGGCGCTAATCTAATACATTTTGTGTAGGTTATATGAAGCCATTTAACCTCTGCATAGGCATTGATTAATGTCGGATCCGCGGTAATGCTGGAGGCGGCAGGAGAGAGAATGCTATTTTCCGAAGTCGACTAAATTTTTTTTTTCGTAGTAAAATTCCCTGTACGTTTTTCCGTCCCAGCATTTTCACGTATACAAATAGGTTGTCGATGTTCTTCCGTACAAAGAAAACCTCTAAAACGAAATGACGCGATGAACCTGTAATTTACGAATGAAAATGTATTCGAGAAAATATTTTAATGCTCAAATGAGATTTCGACATTCTTAGAGTTATTTTAACGTCATTGAAACTTATGTGTAGGACCGTCGTGCAGTGGTTCAAAAATGAAAATGGTTTGCCAAAATTCTAAGTTTCTCAGAATTCTTATAAAATTATTTACTATTTACATAATAATTATTAAAATAATAATTCGTATTCGTATACCGACTTAAAGGGTCTGCACGTGTCCTGTTATTTTATTTAAAAACATGCCTCATAGAAAAACTTCCAAGCTTAATAAAAAGTTTTTTTTTAGAAAGGAAACTTTCATAAATATAAGTCAATGTAAAAAAATGTATATTCTTTTATTAATAATTTATTTTTTAATTTCCATGTATTCAAATACATACACTTCGAAAAATCAATCTTCCTCACTGCTCTCACAACTACTACTATCAGGATCACATTCACTTTCGACTTCAAGTTACAATGTCTTGACAAATGGATGCAAAGTTATATTTTTCTTAGTATCAGTATTATTTTAGCAACTTATAACTGGATCCGATAAAAATAAAAATCTTTAAAAAATATTTGTATTAATACCTATTTTTAAAAATGTTCTACATTGATATTCTCTATATTTTTATTATCTTAAATATCTTATTATCTTATTCCAATGTTGCTTCGGTCATTTGTTAAATAAGTAAAATAAATTATTTTGCTATGGAAGCACCATGCAATAAAATTATATGCACATTTGGTAGCATATAATACTAATAATATACATTTTTATATATTTGGGCAGTTTCAGATTTATAATTTCCAAATTTTTCAAAATTTAAATATTACCACATGATAATGTTTGTAAAATTACTCTAAATTGTTCAACTAATCTTTCATTTATTCCCGTTTTATCAGCTGATATTTTGAAATGTTTAAAAAAA